ACGTTCTTGTCTATATTTGTACCGAAAAAACAAAAAAAAAAAAAAAAACAAAAAACTATATTTTTGTCCCATTGCTTTCCCCTAAAATCAATCTTAAGTTAATTGAAAATGATCTACAAATATGGCACGAATGGCACAAACCGACAAAAATTTTTCTAAGTCTATGTCTATGGGAAAGCTTCAAATCTAACCTAAATTCGGAGAAAAGGTTTGTCGGTCAGAGTTAATGGAATTGTTTCATCTGCAACACTCGGGTATATATGAAAAACGAAGCATTTCAATTATTTGCTTAATTATCCGTGAAATTATGAAAATCGCATTCACTCGTTTCTCGTTCTAAAGACTACAATTTGATATACAATCTTGCCGTCCTTAAATAATAGCCTAAAGGAAAAAAAGGAAAGGAGAACAAAAAAAAAAGTGAAATTTCGTAAATTTCGCAAATTTTAATATATGGACTCATATTCAAATGTTTTGGCTAATTTTGAAATTTAGCGCGAATATTCATTACAGTCATAGAAAGACTTGGTATACAAATGGTATCAAGTTGGGAGGAGAAAGCCTTGAGAGAACAATCAGAATATTCTTAATGAGAAATTAATGGTTTAGCAGACTTAAAGTACAAACCGCGCCCCATGTACTCTAAGAACTCGAAAAATGAAGTGCAATGTGAGAGACGTAATTAGTAAAATGGTAACTTCACTAAACCAAAATGTAAAGTGCTTAGGAAGAAAATGCGTTTCCATCGTAAAACATATTTCAGCTCTGCAAAGCCGATATTAACCAATGCATTAGCTGTAACATAAGGCCTTGGCATGTCGCCGCATATAAGCTGATTTTTAAAATAAGTCGCGGATGGAAAGCAGTTACCGTTAGTTAAATTTTCATTCGGCAGGGAAATGTGATCGCTCTAGTCCGATAAGCGTTTTTACTGTTACTAGGCGGCGGTATAATTTCTTTCCAATGATGTATATCGTAAGGTGTAGTCGGGTGAAGACATATTGATCAATGTAATTAATGTGGAGGACAACCTTCAAAGCTGGTATTTATTGGTGGAATTTAAACTTAATTCAAAACAGGCACAAAGGAGAATTCTATGCTACGCCTATGTCTTTCATAGGGATAATAATGACGGGCTAGAATCCAATCGGTTTCGCTATTAGGGCTGACGACGAATAGTACCTATGTTTGCGAGATCTTCGATGCTTATTTCTACGCCATATAAACATATGACAATTTTAATACGCCCTTGAGATATATGTAAATATTTGATTAACTGTTTTATAGAACTTGATGATCGTTCATGACAGTTGAAATGTTTACTAACAGTTATAATCTGAACTAAAGAAAAAAAAAAGATGTGTTACTTGATGTTAGGCGGAGTTTAGCAGAGACTCGCAGTTTGTTTTATGTCGTATCACTTTTTATGTTATTTATTATGCAAATAATTTTGAGTTTTATATAAAACGAATTTTTCCTGGATTTCAATTCTCTAAGCCTAGACCTCCATAAATTCAACAATTTGTAATTGTCTTGATTTTAATTCTGCAGAAGCGCAAGAAAGGTATCAGTACATTGCTAAATAAAATTAATTAGTAAAAATACTGTGGTGAAGAAATAAGTGGATTTAAATATATTGTAAACCATTTCCGTATGGCAGAGAAATGTTTGATTTAGAAGTAATTTTTCTTCGTCCGCCGTGTGTGAAGGACTTACCTGCGTACTAATATCACTATGGTGGTAATAACGGCTGCTAAGAAGACAAACCCACCAAAGGCACCTAAAGCTACAATGGCACCTAAGTTCAATTTAGCTTCTTTGGTTTCCTTGCGGTCTGAATTTTCTACTGAATATGGGATATTAACATTAGGCACTTGATTATGACGTATATTGACGCTATCGGCAATTTCATTATCCTGGGGATGAGCATTAAGCAAGATATTTTGGGTATTACGTGTGGTTGTTGTTGTTTCCAAAGTACTAGGTATATAGGGTGTACGAGAACGTGTCGGTATATAAACTGAAGATGATTTACTAGTGCTAGTAGAATATATAATTGTGGGTGAGTGCGTAGTCGGTGTGGAAATAGGTTTCTTTGGTATCAACACTGGTGGGCGTATAGTGCGGCGTGGCGGAAATTCTTCGCGTACAGTACCAGGTACAACATAAGTGACTTCTTCATCGGAATCTGCTAAATTATTAGTTAAAATAAAATCTTTGCCTAAATCAAAGTTGAAGAGGGCTTACCTTCATTGGTGAGGTCTGGATGCTGGGGACCGCCACTGTTAGGAGTTGAAGTTGTGCTGGTTGTCGTAGTACTTGTAGTAGTACTAATTTTGTAAGGTCTTTTCGTTGTTGTTGTTGGAATAGTTTTTGGTTTTTGCGTAGTTGTTGTGGTTGTCGTAGTAACAGTCGTCGACGGCGATGGCGGTGGTGCTACGGTAGTTGGTTCTAGTTTAATACAACGCGGCAAAGCACTACTCCATTGGCCCGTAGCCAAACAACTTAGAATACGGGGACCTTCCAGACGATAGCCATTAGGGCATGAGATTTCCACTCTTGATCCGTAATACGTTCCATTGGGAGCAGAAATAATTGTGTTGTAATAATTACCAGGTAGGGTATCGCACTCGACAACTTCATGAGGGGAAAGTAATTTTAAGTAACTGACACTGAAAAAATTGAGGTTTCTCTTACTTTCACACCGAGGTGGTGGTCCGTTCCAACGTTCATCAAAATCGCAGGTTAATAAGGCACGTCCTATTATTTCGTAGCCTTCATGGCAAGAATATTTAACCAAGCTAAGGTAGCCCACAGTACCATTTATAAGGTCATAGCTGCCATGAGGTATGGAAGCAGGTAAACCGCACTCGATATCTGCAGTGAAAAAAATTTTATTTTTCTCTCTTAAAGCTTATAAACAATTTGCATTTACTTACATTTACATACCGGCGGGAATTCGTTGTAGAAACCCGTGTCGAGACATGTTCGGGTTGAAGGACCAACCAGCAAGTGATTGCTGTCGCAAGCATATTTAATCTGAGCACCGACTTCAAAACCATTTAGTGCAATCATGGTCGAGTTTGGAGGTTGTTCCGGTCTCCCACAGGTTTTGGGTTGATGTTGGCATATAAAATTTAACATTGTATTGCAATTGGTATCACTCCATAGCCAGCCTTTCGAGCCGTCGAAACGAGCGCAATCTTCGTCACCTTCCGGATGATTCCAAAATGATACGGTCACCTCCTCACCGTTAACCCACTTCCAATTGTTGCGATCGTCAGCATCTCTGACGGCGCCCATCCAATATTGAGAGGTAACATCACTGCGATGGCGACGCCACAATTCCCAGCTAATGAAACCCTGCAAAGCCGGATTGCTTTCGCTGATAAGTGTACCGCCGCGACTGCGGCAAAACGATAAAGAATCCAAGAAATTTAAAGGTTGACGATTATAAAAAATATAGCATTTTCCATTGTATGAAGCTAAAGCACCGGGTGGTTGATCCCGAAAACTGGGACAACGTTCGATAGGCAAAGCTTGGTCCGTGTAAACGAAAGCCTCGCAAATAGACAATTGATTCGGAATATTAGTCTCCAAATGTACCGAAACGAAAGCACCGGGCATCGGAGGATTACAAGGTAAGAATAGGGGTTGGCCTTCCTCTAAGAGGCCAGTAAAACGATTACATATAGGATTGGTGCCTAAATCAGGACGATTGTTGCCCACTCGCACTACGACTGTAGCTGGCTTGTTTCCTACATAAATACAAAGAAATTATGTAACGCATTACGAGCATTAAAAGTGTTGATATTAAACGAGTCCGCAATTTAAAGTTTTATAAACGATTATTTATGTAATATTGACTTTTAAAAAATATTTATATTTAATAGTCGATAATTTTTCTTAAATCGAGGCAAAAACAAAAAGGAAGAAATTTAAAAGTGATTTATTAATTGTTTTAGCTGATCGCGATTATGGCGAGGGTATGCGGATTTTGTCTACAGCAAAATTGAGAAAAATTATTATTCTACTTTGTAGCCATCGACAAGTGAGTTTCGCGTCGAGAGCGCGTCACGACTTTTCCGACGACTGCATAATTTTTGGGGCAATTTAATTTGAATTTGCTGACCGCATTGATTTTACTCAAAATATTAGTGAAAGTGATCATAAATTGTGCAAATGTTTTCTCAGTAACGGACCTAGTATTAGTAATGGTAATGCGGCGGCCACATTATTTAAAATACATTGTCGCCGCTATTGCATCAGTGTTAAGTTGTTAAGACTATACAAAACAAAAACATTTCTGCCTCTCTGTGAAAGGTGAATTTTTTCTATTTAGTTGTCTAACACATCGATGAAGAAATGGAAGAAGCGCGCATCAAGGCAAAACTCTCAAAATTGTATCTTTAACAACAATTTCAACTTGATCGCTCTTAGTTGATTTGCTTACTATTGGATAGCAATAAGTAGAGAGGCAAGGAAGATTGACCAAGTGAAAGCAATAAAAGGGTAAGGGAAACAGACTAGGAAGGAAAGAGAAAGATAGAAAAAAAAAAAAGAAAATAGAAAGAACAGAGATAGAGGAAGAGAGAGAGAGAGAGAGAGAGAGAGAGAGAGAGAGAGAGAGAGAGAGAGAGAGAGAGAGTTTATGGAATGGTGGAAAACGGCTTTGTACTATTGATTGTGAGTAAACAACCATAAAAAGCGCATTCGGTTATGACGATAATGAATGTTAGTAAAATCTGTTATTTTCATCAGCATCTTGTCGGTTGCAAAGTGATCTCTGCCCCTCCTTCAATAACAAAATAATATTTAATTGCCTCTCATATTGAATAATATCGCGTGCCCGTGACAGCAAACCTTTAAATGTTTTTCGATTTTCATTTTGTTTTTACTTTTGTTTGCAACACTTTTCGCCGGTTTATTGATCTTTCGTTATATATGATTTATTGACTATAGTATGTATGCATAAAATTACCGCAACAGGATTTGCCAAAGTCCAAGCGCACCAGTTGCACCATATATGGCTCCAATAGATTCACATACCACCACGGTGAACGTTCTGCTTTCGTTAACGAGCATGTTTCAGGTGTAAAGAAAGCTGACGTGGAACCATCAATAGCTTTCTGCGGAGCTCCTGAAGCTTCAGTGGATATTTGCATAGGTGCCTTCCCGGCAGCAACATTAAGTACTGAAACAAGATAACAAAATAAAAAAAAATTAAAAAATTTATTAAAAAAATTGATTCGTTAAATGGAAAGATTCCAAAAAGTTCAAGGTAATTCAAGCAATCGGTTTCACTTGTATTCGAACAATAATCGAACCAATCGAATAAGCGTAAATAAAAAAATTAAAATGAAGAAACGTTCCTATGAAAATATTAAAGAAGAAGAAGCAATGACTTGACGGCATTGTGATCCCTCAAAGTCTTTCATAGATATACGATAATTACAAGTTGAAGGTGGTAGTGAAGTTTGTTGCGCTTTTCGAAAACCTAACCTAACCTTGCCTTTGCCTACGCTTTGCCATTGTATATAAGATCTTCTCATGTTTATGAATAATAGTAAATAATTAATTTTATTATTCTTATTAACGTTTTTCACTAAAGCATTCTGTTAATCACCTGAAGGTTCTTACCACTAAATATATTTTGAGAAAAAAAAAAAAAAAACAAAAACAAAATTTAAATTTATAAATTACTTGTTTGCTTATTTGAAGAGTGAAAACAATAATGCTTTTATGAATAAAAACAAAGAGTAAATATTCAGAAATTTAATTGGAAAATTCTTTTAAAAAAAAAAAAAACCGTTTGAAAGGAAGGTTGGCGCAAGAATCAAATTCAATGGAAGTTTGAAATTTAGACATTTGGGTCATGAACGTAGGGCCGGCAATTACATTCCGGTTAGATTGGAATCTTTCGATCTTTCCTTTCTTTAGCTTATAGTAAAAGAATTATCGTAGATTTGATCGTTCTCCTACTCTACACCGCTTGCGATACAAGATATACTAACTTTGTGTGGACGTATATACCACGCGGAAGGGCTTAATATAGACGACCTATCCAGAAAACGATTCTGGATTTGTCTATCCGTCTGTCCGTCCGATTAATGCTCATTGAGTATTTTGTTGAAGCTATAGGTCGTAATTTTTAACATATATTAATGAACACTGATGTGCTTTGACCCAAGGATGAACGCTATTGAAAATGGGTACACTTTTTACAATTTTCAATATTTCTCGGCAAAACACGCTCTATAATAGTATTTGCGCATTCTGCTTTCGCTGGGGCAATCTTTTGAACCCTCTCTCATCTTCCTACGAAAATTAAGTCTTTATATAGCAAAAAATATATAATTTTTGATGTTTCATGGCGAAAATTTGTATTCGTAAGAGTAAATTGACATAAAAATGAACCTTAACGAAGATCTATTGGTTAGCAATGCCTATAAGGATTCCTGCAATATGCGGGTCTCCATGAAAAGTATGGCTTTGCATAAAAATAACGTGTAAGCGGGAACAAGTGTATCAGGCGGAGTGGTGTAAAGTATTTAATAGTCGACCTGTTCTTACTTAAACCATTCAATTTTTTAATACCAGAGAACATAAAGAGCATGTTTTCTAAGAGATGACGAAGAGGAATGTGCATTCGCCTCCCTAGCAAGCAATTGAACTCGGAAAGTCAGTGAATAGCTTATTGAGTGAAGTAGGTCATTATATCGGTTATTCGTAAAAGGAGGCTTGACTTTTCCTTGCAAAAAGATTGTAAAAAGTTCGTCCTTTTATATCTTATGCCACTTGTGGTAAAAGTGTATTTTAAGTTTGCGCGGATGTATAATACATCTAAAAGGATCACATCGATCAAGTCAGAATCATTCTCTCAATCGGTTTAAACTTGTCTGTCTGTCAGTCTATGTGTTATATTTTCTTTTGCTAGCCTGCATGCCATGCCATGGAAATTGTTGAAATATTTTAATGAAATTTTATTTAACTAAATTTTGACAATTCAGCTGAGATATCGTGAGTTGAGACTTTTAAATGATTTAATAGCAATGAAATTTTCTCCGTTTGCAAATACTTGCAATTGAAAGAATACCTCATGCATACTAATTATACATTTTTAATGATAATTAATATCTCTCCTCACATAGATATTATAAGTCATTCCTTGTGGTGTGAAAGTTGTGCAAATCTTTAAGCGACATATTTGGCTTAATAGAGAGACAAAAAAAAAAAATAAATAAAAAAAATAAATAAATAAATAAAAAATAAAATAAAAAAATAAAATAATAAAAAGAAAAAGAAAAACATTTGTTTGCTAACAGTTTGTCATTAACAACTTACTCGTACGATTTCTTTATTTATTTATTTATTTTATATTTTTTTCTTTCGTCTCCTTGTCTCTTGTTTTTTGGTTTGTGTGTTTGTTTGTTGATTTTTGCAGTTTCGGAAGTGTCCAGCGAACTGATATGTTTTTGTGTCATATATTTTAAATTTTAATTTTATTAAACATTTAATTAAATATAATTAATGGAGTTTCACTTTCTTAATAAAAAAAGATTTTATTACAATTCATGACGATTGTGAAGCTTGTTTTTCTTTTCTTTTTTTCCTTTCTTGAAACAATACAAACATATCGTAAGAATATTTCAGTAAAAAGAGAAAGTAATGAAATTTTTATGAAAACGTGAAAAAAAAACATCTTTTAAAATCTTTGCGTTTTATTGTTTTGTCATATTTATACCGTTGTACATTTAAGTATTAGTGACTGATAACTAACTTACTTTACAATAACATTAAATGTACTTGTATATCTAAAAACATTTGCCTTAGTTTGCCGCAATTGCTTATGAGTAAAAGCGGTTTTATTTACTTAAATGTAATCTTTTTTTTTATAGTTTAATTGATGTTCAGAATGCGCTTTACTTTAACTTTATTTAATTTTTTATTTCCTTTCTGCCTATCCAACACGAAGGGTACATTAATTTTTTCATTTGATTTGTAACGACTCGATCAGAGTAAAGTGCAATATCGTTTACCGGTTTTTTTTTCAAAATAAAAATCACTTCAAGTCAAGTTAAAACTAATTCGGCTTAAGCGTCTGCCGTTTGGATAAAAAAAAAAAAGATTTATCTTATTCACGGGCTCGCCACACAATCTTCTTGTTTCATTTACATTGAAAATATTTTTATTGCTTTTCATAATATTTTCCCTAACGACTTTCACGCCATTACGTCATATGTAATACGTTTTGTTCTACGAATTTAGACGTTGGTCATCCGGTCCGTCTTTCACGTATAAAAACCAAGACCAATCATTGCATAGCATGAAGAGATGATTACGTTTGTTTTTGACGTCTCACAGCAACCTATAGACATCAACGTACTCGTGCTAAGTTGTTTGAATGTCCATCGGTCTTTTTGTTTATTACAGTCTTAAAATGGGGAAAATTACGATAGAAACCTAAGAGTTGCGTAATTCAAAACGCGCACTTACTGCTTTCCTAGAAAACAAAATGCAAAATAGCGGTGCACTCATCATCATTGCTGACATTTTCCCATTAGCATCATGCAAAACTATTTCGTAAGAGTTTAATGCTCGGAAATGCATATCGAAGACTTCTCAGCGTTTCTAGCGTCTGCATCAGTTCAAGTTGAATTATTTTTTAACTGCCTACTTACCTACCTACTTATATTTACATCCATCAATAGCGATGCGCTTCACTTTGTTTTGAGTTTGGGAAATGCTCGGTTGGCCGATTAGGACTTGATCAAGATATGATCAAGAATATAAATATCTTTTGAGATTTCCGATGCGTAGTACTGGATGGCACAAATCTAGTGCATCTTTAATGCGAATGAAAAAAGTCGACTCAAATCGCATACCGTTGTCTGTGGTGTTTTTTTTTTGTTTGTCTTTTAACATTTTTACTCCGCACTTACACTGGTAATCAAATCTAGGGTACGTAACCATGCTTGGCAACTGAAACATTGCAAACATTGTTGTTGTTATTATCGGTCTTTCTTTATGTTTCGTTAATTGTTTTCATTTCTCTTTTCTTTTTTTTTATATTTTTCAAAATAAAAAATATATAGACAGCATACTGAGGAAAACAACGTTGCATGTTGTTAGTTACAATTAAATTTTAACTCTCAACTTGTAGTTTACTTTAGTTACTTTCTGTTTGCGATTTCACGAGCGTTGATGTTCAGTGAGTGTGTTATTGTTTTGTGTAAATTCCTGATGGTTTAATGCATAATCAATTGATTATGTATGTAGTTGACCGTTATGGATTCTTTTTTTTTTTTTTTTTTATTTTTTTTTTTTAAGTATTATACAACAAAAAATGAAAACTGTGCATGCATATCGGTTAAATATGAATTTCAATAGTATTAAGGTATTCTACTAAGCATTTTGAGAAGGAATGCATTGCTTCGCGCTGTGCCCAGAAATATAGGGAAATATGAAAAAAAAAGGAAAACATATTCTAATGGAAATTTAAAAAGTTTCACTTAAGACAATTCTGCTTTTAAGACTATGAAGCGATTGTTTATCGTTCAGATTGTTGTTTATAAGTTTCTTGGTAAATGGGAAACCATTTTGTTATAAAATAACAACCGCTGGCATGACAAATTTTACCCTACAAACATTTCTCGACCTACTTGTACGGATAGCTTCTTGACTAACTTGTAATTTTCAATTCATTCAAGTCATCAAATAAGTGATATGCGAAAAGTATTCGTGTCAATAATTATTTTTTTTTTTCTTCTTCTCTTTTATTTTTCAATTGAAAACAATAGGAACGCCACGTCATAGACATCCAAAACTAAGATTTTTTATATCAGTATGTACAGCTAAGACGTTATCGATGCGCATCTGGAATGCACTAAGATACGAAGTGAAATTGTTGAGATTTTTCTTATCATAAAATTGCAAAAAAAAAAAAAAAAAAAAAATTTAAAAAAAGAAAGATTGATCATTGAAGGTCGATACGATTATACCTAACACAACGCCGCTTATCCCATATATATCGATCAGTGGTAATTAGAAAGCGCTACATATGGTAAGGACAGCGGGTTCAGCAGAGCTTCCCGTTCGAGCTGCAGCTTTGTATCCTTGAAAGAGTTGATAGATCAACTGCTAAATTGTTCGATATGTCTTGCAATTCATTGTCTTTGCACTTTTATGATCCTCCAGGCGGTCCAACGCCATTCTCACCAGAAACTCCTAAAAATGTTTGATCGGCCAGGGCAGCAGCCGAAATCAAACAACAAAACTAATGAACGTTGGAGATATCTGTTTGCACGGATATACTATATAGACAACAGTTATTTTGGTTGAAAATTTAACTATGAGACCGGGTAACATTTAGCCTGATCAGGTTTTAAATTTAAAGCTCTTGCCCTTTTTAATTGTACTAACGAATGTTCAAATTTTCAAAATACTTTGGCATCTTTAAATGACTTCCCAGTAGATGAACATGTCGTTGACATATTTTGCTTGATAAGAGTTGAATATTCCCGTGACATTTGCTCCTTAAATCCGCCTTAGCAGTCGAGTAGGTAAAAACCGCAACTGGTTAGTCACAGTTTTTGCACTTGTTCAAATCTCAAGTGCGGTAGAGTTTTATTTGCTTAGTCGATAAGCGCCAGAACACCTGTCCACTAGAGACGCACACCCACTCCGCTACGACCACGATCTGCATACTTCTTACTCAGTTTCTCTTTCCTTGACAGTCGTCGCATTATACGAGTAGGGGGCATCCGCTGAACGATTGGTCCTATTAGAAACACAAAGAGTAATAATCAATGATGTGCATTTACGTCCATGGCTCGACATGTACAACGAAATGCATATATGCGCTAGTTTGCAACATAAGCAATTCATAGACTTGGTAGCAAAGTTTGTAGAAGCATTCTTTATCAAAATACCATTTAACAAAAAATGTAGAAAAAAGAAAAAAAAAAAAAAACAACGAAAAAATTCTATAAAAATTTTAACCCACTTTTGTCAATGTTAAAAGAACTGGATTTTATTTTATATAAAAATTATGCCAAAACTAAAACTTTTCAAACAAATTTTTAAGAGAAACTTTGAAATGAAAGGAATGCAACATGATCGTGCAGACAATTTATTTTGTTTAATATAAAATAACAACAACAGCAATAATGAAAAAAAAAAATAAACATATATATAAATAAAACTGGTGTTACCAATTTTCCAACTAGTTCGGCCAGAACTCAAGCAAAGAACGTTAGCTTAAAACTTAAACATTTGACAATGCGTGAGCGTGTTAAGTTTTAAAGTAAAAAGAAAACAAAACCGAAAGAAAAAAATAAAAACACAATTGATTTAAATATATTGGCGAAAAAATATTTAGCCTTTAGAAAATTTTAAAATTCATCCTATAATTCATGTCAATAGGTGCTTGCATGTATTCCGAGCAGTGTCATCTCTTGGTGAAAATGATTAACTAATACGAGGTATCATCAATGTGCATAACGATTTAATTGAATGATTTTGACCTTTCCCCATATAAAATCTCAATTTTCCATTTGCTATTTTTCTCAATAAATGCTTAGTCAAGTGAAAGAATTATCAAAATACTTGCAAGCACCTAATATCCATGGCATTTGTATGATTGACAATCGCATGTAATGATATATGAGATCAACTAACATATTCCCGCGGATTTTTTTACTTTTGCTTGTACGCTAACGTTGCCGATCTCTGTAAAGAAAAATCTTATGCTATGCGATTAATTGCCTCCTATTATCTATTAAAGCGCAGGTTTGTCTTTTTTAATGTCTTTCGATTGTTATCTTAAGAATGGCGAACAACTGCGACAACCTTGACCCTTACTGCACTCACAAAAGAACAATTTTCATGCACAACAATAGGTATTTGAAAGTACATAATCATAAACGTTGTTAGATTTCATTGAAAATTGAAGAAAAAAGAAAAAAACAAAAAAAAGAGGAAAAAGAAATCAACGTGGGAGTCTTTTTTCATGGAGAATACAAGAAAAAATATCATTTATCTGTAGAAGCTAAGCGAGAGTGAGAGTGCTTGGCGAGAAGTATGGAGTTTTTTTTTGTTTTTTTTTACCCTTTGAATATTTATAACCACACTTTATGCATAGTGAAAAGTTTGCGACTTTATAGTGATAAGTTTCTGTTTTAACTCTGCGCTCAAGAGTTTCTTTCAAGATTGATGGTATAGAAAATTTGTTGTGGTGTTTGCGACAAGCAACAGAAACGATTACCAATCCCATAAAATGTATATTAATTTGATTTAATATTTTGCTCAACAATATGTGTGTAGATATATATTGAATAGATGTCCGTCCGTCTGTCCGTCCATTCTTTATTGCTGAGAGCTATTCTTCGCAAAGTTCGCAGCTTGATTTAATATTTTGCTCAACAATATGTGTGTAAATATGTATTAAATAGATGTCCGTCCGTCCGTCCGTCCATTCTTTATTGCTGAAAGCTATTCTTCGTAAAGTTTGAGGCTTTGATTTGATATTTTGGTGAAAAATATACATTTATATATGTGTTCGAGATCAGCGTAATTGAATAGATTTTCCCATATCTCGATGTTCGTCCATACGTCCTTTCCTTCCGTTCATTCTTTATTACTGAAAGTTTTTCGATATTCGGTTTGACATTTTGCTGAAAAGTTTTTAGCAAATGCAAACTTACATACAAGTCTGAAAGAATTTTAAATCTATAGCTGATGTCGATAAGAAAAGTTGGTTCAAATTTTTCAACCCCGAATTCGGCATTGTTACGCTTACCGTTACTAAGATATTTTACAACATTTTGATAATCGCACACATACAGACAGTTACAGTTACAGTGTATAGCTCGGTTATAACCAACACTCGAGATGTATTGGGATTGTGTAGAAGAGTTAATAAATATAGAATAGAAAGATGATCAGGAGATTTTGTTGTGTAAACATATAGTTTTAGCTGATGTGCGCAGTATCTTTTTATCTGCCAGACTCACAACTATAGCGTGTTTTTCATCTATTCTCCTATTAGTCTCGTTTAAAACATTGTCTAAATTGATCCTTGGATCACCTCATAGTTAGTAAAATTTATTAGAATCTTATTAGAATTTTTATTTTAACTTGGAAGATAACCTAAAAAATTCATTCGTAAATAAAACAGCTCCATACTTATAACGATTACGTAACTTCTTAGGAGAGATGCTGTTCAATTGTGTTTGAAGTAGAACTTGAAATGTAGGTATATATGGCATAAAATTTACCCAATACGATATATGATACGAATTTTCACACCATTTCGCAATACAATCTAAATAGAGTGACTAATGATTTAGGCCATAGTCGGCCTACATAGAAGACTGTAAACAAGAATGTTTTACAAATTTTAAACAAATCGAATTTGAATCCATTTTTTACGACCACAGGTCAATTCAATTAAAAAGTGTTCCAATTAGGAGAGATCGTGTTAGGTAAAACCTTGTAATAAAATTAATGTTTTTTCTTCTCTTTAAAGGCTCAATACTTTTTATATTAAAATATTTTTACTTGAAGTGATAGGTATTCCCGTTTAGCGATTAAGCGTTTAAAGCTTTCTTATATGTTAAGTTTGCTTTAGAAACTTAATTCATATTTTCTTACTCATTTGTTACTACTTGTCTTTTGCTTGACTTGTCAGTTAGTTAGTTAGTTAGTTAGTTAGTTAGTTAGTTAGTCAATCACAACACTCTTACTTAAAATAACAACGCAACAAACAGAGACATTACCACTGACCTACTCTGTGTTACGGTTTGTTGCTGATATTGTTGTTTTCTTAACTTTTCATGTTGTTTTGATAAATGCGATACGAGTGTACTGTGAGAGTAACCCGAAACTGTGAAGTGGTAGTTAAGATAATCATTTAATTAAATTTTCGTTCTCATGCCTTGTATGGATTACTTATTACTTGCTAATATGTGTTTGTTGTTGTATGTTTCCGTGTATGCGTGTAAGTGTAAGTGTAAGTGTGTGTGTGCGTGTGTGTGTGTGTGAGTGTGCTTGCATTTTTCATGCATGTATTTATGTATGAAATGAGTTAACACACTTTATGTATGTCTATACTCCTAAGGCACACACACACACATATATATATATATATATATATATAGTGAGATAAGTGAGATATTAAAGAAGTCATGAAAAGTTTAAAGAAATCTTCATTGAGGTAAAGCCTTAAGCTGGAGTTAAAATTGAGTTGTGCTCTCTCTCGTTCTGCAAAAATCATATGATTACAAACAAAATTTTACTCATCACCTTAAGGCAAATTATTTGGAATCTTATGCGAAACGCTTACACTTTATTATTATATTAATTATGGGATATTAATGCAATAAATAACTTAACACTTACCGCAAAATGGTATGCCTTCCGGCATCCATGTGCCCTTATCGCAGACACGTCGAGCCGGTCCCAATAATTCAAAACCACGCTCGCACGAATAAGAGGCCACTGTACCGTGCGTAAGATTAACATTCGAAAATACAACCGTACTGTGAGCTGGTGAGCCAGGAAAACTGCAAGGCAGCTCTGCAAACAAAAGCAAATGAAATTTGTGAAAATTATATTAAAACAAATGTGAAGAAAAAAAAAAACAAGCAAAAGAAAGAGAAAGAAAAAGTGAAAGAGAAGGAGAAAGAGAAGGAGAAAGAAAGGCTTAAGCCTAATATTACTGGCAAACTACAATTTGTGGCGTTAATGTACGTGCGCTGTTCACAAATCTTTTCACCTAATTTTTTTTTTTTTTTTTTTTTTTTGGTTAAACCAAACGCGATGTGACAAGTTGAACGTGTGTGGACATTCAGGAAGTGTGCCCATACGATATTGCCAAATGAAAGTTAAGACATTTGATTTGATTGCTGGCCAAAGGGGGCGAACAAGGGAGACACTTAATTTATGTCCATAGCGACAATTTCTTTTTCAAAATGCTTATATAACGTTTTATGTTCACGGTAATATTCACCATTTTCACTATTAATGTCTTGTAGTATTTAGTTAAATAGTTGCACAATTTTTTCTGTTTTTTTTAATAGGAAAAAAAAAAAAAACAAATAAAAATAAAAAAATCAGTAAAATAACAAAACAGAAAACAGTTTTTGTTTGCTGTTGTTTGCTGTTACTTCACAAATTAATTATTATAAATTAACAAACAAGGCAAGTTGTTGAAAATTTAAAAAAAAAATATCTTACACTTATTCGTTTGTTTTATGCAATAATCAAGTTTTTCGGGATTTCTTCTCTTTCAAATTCAATCAAACAATGAGCAAAACTTCCTCAGATTAAGAAATTCATCTATAATCCACTTTAGTATGTATGTGTATGTATGGTAATGATATTGGAATGTCGCAAGATTGTTGAATTCTTCACGAATAAAATTCAGAATAAAATGATTCTTCTTCTTCGTCCAGATAGCCGGATAGGACTTGGAGTCCTACACTGATCGAATATGTAAACATGAATTTATGGGTGACGTGGCGAAGAAATTGTTACTCTTTGGGGCGAACCAGTCATTGTCGTAAGAAGTATATGCGTGTTCCATCGATGCAAACACGCGGGGGTTGGGTTAACTTAACTGTGGCGAGTAAGCTGCGCGGACTAGTTGAGTGCTTTTACTGCGTATCGCGGATCGGTTTCGCTCTACGGATTGATATTTCGTTCGTTTTTTTGAAAAGCGGAACGGTTCGAATCGATTACTTGTTGGTGGTAGCGTTTGGTGTGAAAAGTTCCATCAGACTTTAACAACTAATAACACACTACTAACACACTTTTCTGATGGTTGCGGATTGTCTGCCTGGATTTACTGATGAATTTTTACACCTACGATAATCAAAACAAATTCATTCTTCTTTTTATGTTGTCCTAGAAAACAAAGAAATGCTGAAAAACTCGACATGTTCATGTTGTTAGAAAAAGTGTTTGTGCGTCGGGATATCACGACTGCTTAATGTTGCCAAATGTCTACGCTGTAAAAAGAAAACACCACTTCAAACATTTACATTCTTCGCAAGTGGTGCCGAGGTCATCGATGGAAAAATTCCAGTTTCATATTTACATACCTAGTACTTTCTACAAAATCACCAATATGTGGTGGTGAGAATGAAACAAGAATGTTCGCCAAAATCTTTATAGAATTTTTCGAATTTTAAAATATTCAAGAGAAAATATAGATCGATTGATGAGTGTGTGTGCAGCCTTTTTGTGTTTTGTTGCAAAATCTGTTCTGTTATTCAATAGAACATCTGAACATTCATGAGCCCATTTGAATGATAGAATACAGCAGTCGCCGGCTTAGCTAGAGCCTATAATGCGAAAGCTGTATTTTAGTTTCAGGGACGATTAACAGATGGACGATTAAATCATTCATGTTAACTCGATCTTATAAGCGACTAACTATCATTAAATCTTTTTCATCGGACGGTAGTTGGGACAGTCACTTCCCCACTTTCCGCTCTTGAGCCGCCGCCAGCATAAGTGAGGCAGACGCAGATGTTCGGAAAAAGTGTTGTACGATTTAACCATTTTTCAGTGCACGCAACCCTCATTCAACCAACATTTTTGGCTGTAGAGTGAAAAGCTCATGGCGGCTGAGGGGTGAATTAAATTTTATAAAGAATTTATAAATAGGAATATTTTTGAGCTAACAGTTTTATTGTTTCATTTTTTTTTCGCCTAATATTCTCTAATTTTTGTATTTACTTTAAAGTTAATTATATGCATTGATAATTTGAGTGCACGCAACGCAATGCAATGCCATCCAATTGAACTTTCAAGTTTTTGTCTCACATCAGTTCTTTGTTGTTCTCACATCAAAAATTCCACACATAAGAATAAGTTGAGGTAGGCCTTGTTATTAGTGTGCTAGGTAGGGTTTAACTTATTATTTTATGTATGAATTGAATGTAATTTCTTTTGTTGTCGTCGTTCTCTAACTTAGTAACTTTAATTGAGAAATTGTTAAAATTTTCTCAGCTACCTAGCATAATACACGTTACCTTACCTTACATACGTAAGGTTTTGTTTATTTGTTTAGTGTTGTTGTTGTTGTTGTTGCTGTTATTGTTCTATGGACAAATCAATTAACTGAAAAATTAAGCAATTCACGCTTTAACTTAGTTAAACGTTAACGAGACGTTTCCTTTTACGATTCTTAAAAACTAAATCATATAAAGTAAAGAGCGGTGGGACAAACTATATGTTTTCTGCATCGAGTCTGACACTGCGGTTGACTGCTAATTATTATATTTGTCTTTCTTTTAGGTCTTCTACAAGTTGGCAGACAGTTTTTGGCAAGAATAAGTTAACATAAGTGTCAAGAGATGAAAATCAACGTGAATTGTGAATGAGATTACTTTTCATAACGAATTATATAAGGGGCGTGTTTATGTCTCGTACGTTTTAAAAGTATACAAATATTTTAAATGAGCATCAGCAGCTTAAATGTATATCTTTAGCAAGCAATTTTTGAAAAGTTGTTTAACCACGTCCGTCTTGCCCTCCCACTTCTATGTGTACATATGCTTTTGAAACTTTCTGCCAACGATTGCAATTTTCAACTTTCAACTTCCATCTCAATCTTAGCCCATATTCGAAATTCAATCGAATCAATCCGGTGTATTCATTTATAAAGAGCTACTATTTGCAAATTTTAAATCCGTTTCTTTGCTTCGCTTGTGTTTGCCTTGCCCGCTCGCCCGTTTAAGTTTTGCGTCTACTTTCCAATCATGATATTACCTTCTTTACATGAGTTAGTAATACTGTCTTTGATATCTGACTCTAGAGTGTCATATCAATGTATATTTAATTGTTACATAGTCACAAGTGATTTTTGATACCCTGCACTGTGCACGTGGTAGAAGGATGTATTAAGTTTTGTGTGGATGTATGCAACAGACACAAGTGTTTGGAATAAATTCATCTTTTATCACAACGATCGATTCAGAACTCGATTCTAAACTTGCCTATCCATCTTGGTTTCTTGAGTTCAATCTACAGTCCGAAATTTTGAGGAAATTCCTGTCTTTAGTAGATGGAGCAAAACATAGAGTCATCATGGCTGAGCACAAAATCATCCAGGAAAGCGAATAAGGAAGAGTAAGAGCAGGAAGGATAAGTAAGAGCAGGAAAGGTAAGTAAGAACAGGAAGGATAAGTAAGAGCAGGAAGGATAAGTAAGAGCAGGAAGGATAAGTAAGAACAGGAAGGA